TTCGTATCCCGAGGTACCACTGTACATTATCTCCAAGAAAAGCCCTGGGATGCATCATTCTCATTGTTTTTAATTTGTAAAAAAATTGTGTGGAATCAGAATCATAAAGCTGAAGGGGCTATTTGGGCACTCAGTATTGCTCAGTTGAAGAATCCAAATTTAAACATCCCAGACAGAAGGTTGCCCAGCCTCTTGTTGAACACACCCAGTGAAGTGGACACTTTTTCTAACATTCACATGGAGTCTGCCTTCCTGTGACTTAAATTCCTTCTTCTGTGTCCTGCACTCTGGGACAGTAGAAAACAGGTCTTGCTTTTCTGTAGTGTGACATTATTTCAGATATCTGAAGAATGCTGTTGTATCCCTCTCTCAATGGTACACGTCCTCAATTCCTTCAGTCTCTTTTCATAGGAAAATCTGATCATACTTGTGGTCCGTCTCTGGACCTATTCCAATTTTTCTGATCTCTTAAAATGTATTGTCTAGACATGGACACAGTACTCAAGAACTAGACACAGTACTTGAGTGAAAAATTGTAATTCACAAACTATATATATATATATATATATATTTGACATATAGACATATAGACATAGACGTAGACATAGCCTAAATGTGCACTTCCCCTTTTTGCAGCCATACAAAATGCAAACTCATATTCAGTCTCCAGTTAATATTACAAGATTGTTCTAGCCATTAGTAAACCAGATATTCCCTATCCTATAACTGTTCTTTTCATCTTTGTTTCCTAAGTGAACTTTGTAACTTTCAGTCTATTTCTCTACCCCTACCAAGATTTTGAATTTTATATCTGTCTTCTAGGATATGAGCTGTTTCAGTGAGTTTGTGCTTATCTGGCAATCTGATAAGTTTTCTCTCAATTTATTTGTTCAAGTCACTTAAAACAATTGAAGAATAGAGGACCCAGAATTGATCCTTGTGGTACTCCATGTGGATGTTATGAAGTTCATGTAGTAACCAAAAGCCTACTTGGACAGTGGAATTTTTCTTTTCAAGATGACACAAATACTGTTTTTATTAAAGAAGTATGCTTTTGGCTTAGATTGTCTGTACATTTTGGTGCTTGAGTTTGATTTTGCTTATATCCCTCTTCTGCAATTTTTAGACTACTCCTTGTTCCATATCAGTCTCACCTTTCTTCTTAGCAATCTGCCCATTGCTTCTTTCACCTGATTGTTCCTCAGACAGTAGATCAAGGGGTTGAGAAAGGGCGTAACGGCAGTATAGAAGA